TCCTTCAGTAGGGGAAGAGAGGCTGGCAAGCCAGATTGAGTCTCAGTTCTCTCTACACTCAGGCTCTTTCATCAGATGCTAACTTTAATGGAGCTACTTGCTGCACCTCCTCTGCCACCAATGTCTATTCCCCAATTCCCCAATTAGCTCCTCCATCAGTCACGGGATACAAGTGTGCCACAACACTCAGGTAGTACTCAAGCTCCACAGTGCCCTGTAACACATCAGCCCCCACATATAGAACATCGTCACAGTTAATCAATTACAGCAGCCTCGGGTCAGCCAGTCTAACCAGCCTCCTTATTTAACAGGCCAGAATACATCTCTCTCAGCAGCCACTAATGCATAACACCGTTCTCATGATATACACGACCGACTACAGCTGCGCACCTTTTTCCCTATTTGTATTTCCAGGATCACATAATAGCCCATTCATTTCAAACAGGCCTCCTACAGTTCCTGGTGTTCCTGGGTACCCCTATGCTCAACATGTGTCTAGTCTTATGGGAACATATTCCCAACTTCCTAGTGTTCAACCTCAGTCAGCCACGAGCCAGTCCCAATCTTTTTTGGATTCCTTTTAGGTGTGGTCAAGGCTCAGTTGTTGATCACACTTGTCACCATATGCACAATCTCAACCTATAGCAGTCTCGTTGCTGCATTAAGGTCTAGTGATTTCACAAACACCTTATCATTCACCTGGTCAGCAGCAATTATCTGTTGTAGTACCAATGTGAAATCCAGGTACATTGTGCTTCCGTGGATCAACCCAAGTTCACTAGAATTACCTCTCCTCCCAGCCATTCTTCTTCTGCCACTGTAGCGTCACGGCTAAATCGCAACAAAGCCTAACTTCCTCACCCCAGCTCCCTCCCGTGCCGGTGCTTACGTGCTTACAATCCCTCACCCTCACTAGTCACAGAACGGCTGGGAGTTATGTGCAGGTGTGGTGCTGCTAAGAGAAAATCCCAGTTAAACCGACGTGCATAGCATCTACGTCCAGATGTACTCAGGCCTCCTGCTGTCCAGAGAGACCAAGGCAGTGGCATCACAATCACAACCACAGTTAGCTTCACTAACTAAGAAAAGGGTGTTACACAAAAAGGAGAGGGGGGGCGTCAAAGGAGGGGATCGGGGGTGTTGGTCCAGCCAACAAGTGAGGGGAGGTCGAGGTGTTACCAGTGCTGTATACGCAGACATCCAGCGTTCCTCACAGCATCTCTTACTCTCTTGTCTGATGTTTTATCTGTTGCAGGATCCAACCACTGCTGATCTGACTGTCATACACGGTGTGGAAACATTCATACAATATGCAAAGCAAAGTACAGTGCTAAGGTCGTATAAAAAGATAGAAATGGTCTCTATCGAGAAGAAGGGCTGTTTTGAGTACATTACCTGCGCTTGCATTGAGCCAGGTAGATGTGTTAAAGTGTAGAGATCATGAAGATGTCACAAAGGCCTGATTCAGGATGGTCAATGTCGCATACAATACAGGAGAAAAAAGGTCCATTGAGTTTTGTCAAATTGCTAAAGGCATTTTCTCTCTCCCCATTAGTGGCGCTAGTCAGAATCAGCACGAGAGATGAGCGAGAGGTTAATACTGAGTGTGGGGTTGTGTAGGGTGCCCCATGCGTAGGACATCTAGTCTACATTTGCTTGGGAGTTTTGTAGGCGGTGGTTAAAGGGAAAGTGTGGCTACAAGCAGTATCATCTGGTTCTTCTCGCTCAGGCTGAGAGACACAGGGAACAGAAATGTCAGACTTTACACACTTGATATCTCATCCTTTGCCTGGTGTGTCAAACTGAAGCTGTCTGTCCGTGAGCTTGTGGCTTCTCACACTTTTCATGCCTCACCATTCTAGGAGGGTATGACGTATCTTTCCGATAGTCAGCGCAATGACCCTTCTTCGATTTTCAATGAGCTCATTTCTGGAGAGTTGCTGCCTCTTGCCACTGTCCTAGTCACCAGTCGACCTTGGGCCACAAAGGATATACGCAGGAACCATGAATACCGTATATACCAGCATATTGAGGTTCTGGGCTTTACCAAACGTCAGATAACTGAGTACATCAGAAAGACTGTCCCTACGGACCAGTTGAGTGATCTCAATTCTTACCTGGAGAGACATCCTCAGATCAAAAGTGGCATGTACATTCCTCTAAACAGCGCCATTGTTGTGGCTGTGTACATAGCAAGTAAGGCTGATCAGCATCCAATGCCAAACACACTAACTGAGTTGTACACTGCTGTAGTAAACATATCAATAAGGCGACATCTTGAAGGCCATCCGGAGCTGGATAGAAAAAGTATGCAGAGTTTGCCTGCCATTAATATCTCTGTTCCCTGTGAGGTGCATGGAAATTTTGTTAGTCTGTGCAGACTGGCCTTTGATGGAATGGCAGGTGAAAGTGATGAAGTGAGATTGATCTTCAGCGAGTCTGAACTGCCACCAAACTTTGACAATCTTGGGTTGATGGACTCAGTCACTGAGCTCTATGTGACTGGACAAACTTCTTCGTCTCACAACTTCCTTCATCTCACATTCCAGGAATTCTTTGCTGCGGTTCACATCTCTACTATGCCCAGAGAACAACAGCTGCAATACTTTAAGAAGAGTAAGACCGATGGTGCTAAAGAGGAAGGCAGGTTAAAGGTAGTGCTAAGGTTTCTTGCTGGCCTACGCAATTTAGATTGTTTTACTCAAGAAACTGTAAAATACATTGTAAAGTCCCCTTCAACACCTGTGAGTAGCAAATATCAAAAACCCTGTAACATTTCAGTGGATGTTGATGTTATCAACTGGTTGTTCGAAGCTCAGAGTCAGACTGCTATTTCCCTACTCCTAGAAGAGTGCAAAGTAGAATTCAAGGCCAAAACGAGTCAAATGATGGCAATGGACTACTACTCTCTCGGTTACTGTATATCCCACAGCATGTGCCTGTGGGGGTTGTTTCTTACTGGAAGGAGAATTTCTACGGAGAAGATAAAACTACTTGCCAATGGTGCTATAGAATCAAATGGTGTAGGAAAAATTGTCCAACTTGGAGGTGATATGCTTGTAAATTTGCCAAGCACTGATTTTACCATGTTGTTTGATAAGTGGAATTGTCTTCTTCATCTTCATGAACTTTCCCTTTTTACAGTACCCTCAGCATGGCCAGACCTATCTCACCTGTTATCATTTTCAATAGAGGGCCGTGTTACAGATCAAGACTGCACGAACCTTGTCAGTTATCTGGGCTCAACAAACTGCCTCAAGAAGTTTTCGCTTATGTTCAGGAAGGACATTAATGCCAAAGATGTACCTACTTCGCAGCAACTACTGGAGTTGTTAGAGACTGTATACCACCACCACACTCTTGAAGAGAAGTCAGTAAAGGAAGCTGCATGTAGACTAGCTACAGATGATGATGTCAAAGCATTGAGTAAAATATGCTCTTCTTATTTCAATTCAATGAGGAAAGCTTTGATTAAGTATGTTGGAGAACTAACTGATGATGGAACAAATGTCCTTGCTGAAATTCTCCAACACAAATACAGATCAAGAGATCTGGACTTACAGGGTTCAAGTAAAAATGGTCTCATGTCTTTGGTTAAGGCTCTCTATCACAATTCCACCATTTATGTACTGAATTTTAACCGCAACAGTATAGGTGAGAGTGGAGCACTCTCTCTCTCTCTCAGACTCTTCGTCACAACTGCTACTACTGCTCGTGAATTACATTTAAACGGTAACAGTATTGGTGATGAAGGAGCAATAGCCCTCTCTGAGTCTCTTCATCAGAACTCCACCCTTAAGATTTTAGGTCTGAGAAGCAACAGTATTGGTGATAGTGGAGCAGCAGCCTTAGCTGTGGCACTTCATCACAACTCTTCCCTGATTAAGATTGATTTGTCACAAAACAGTATTGGTAGCAACGGAGCAGTATCTCTATCACAGGCCCTTCATCGTAACTCTACCCTTCAGGAACTGGACTTACTCTGTAACTGTATTGGTGATGAAGGAGCAATAGCCCTTGCTCAGTCTCTTCATCAGAACTCTACTCTCCAGATCCTAAACTTGTCATATAACAGTATTGGAGATGAAGGAGCAATAGCCCTCGCTCAGTCCCTTCATCAGAACTCTACTCTCCAGATCCTAGACTTGTCAGATAACTGTATTGGTGATGAGGGAGCAGTTGCCCTGGCTCGAGCTCTCCTCAAGAATCACTCTCTGCAGAAGTTTTCTTTGAGACGCACCGTTGGCATTGGTGAAAGAGTCGCTAGTGAATTTGTGCAGGCCCTGGCACAAAATTCGTCCATAAAAGAGATGTCTCTCTCTAATTATATTAAGACATATGCTGTGAGATGTCCAAAGTATTATGAAGTAGAGAAAAAACTCAATTTTTTGTAGTGTCTCAGTCTTTGGTGCACAAAAACGTGTGTGAGTTGATATTACAAGAATAACTGACGGGAAGGAGGGGTTTAAATAAAGAGAAGATTATAGTGCTTTGTAAAGGAACAGCAGGCTCAGTTAAAGGTAATGTGGTAATAGGACTACATTATGTGTCAGAGTACCAAAACACCAATTTTGAATTGTTTTTCGTTGAGTTTCAGTGTTCTTATATAATCTTCATCAGCTATCTCTGAAGCTAGGCCCGCATGAGAATAATGTGTCATGTCCAGACTTCCCTACATTGAATGTACTTGAAATAGACTTTTATTAACAAATGGAAGTATTGATCTTGCTGTGTCACTTTGTTCTCTCACAATTAATTGCGTAACTCTGGAAGAAATGGAGAGTGAGATTTTGAACAAAAAATGAATCCGCCCTTCATGTTGACTCTGCCATGACCAATCTACCATTTTCTTATGATATTGCTACCAATGTAGCTGATGCCCTTTCCCACAACTACTCTTGAGAATTTTATACCTTCTGATCAAAAAGTCCGAGATACTCGAACTGTTGCTGTACTCCAGGCCTTCAAACGTGACTTCAACACTGTAAAGTTTATCCTCTCAGATACATCTTGCTCTGCTCTTGCTCTGGCTCTCTCTCTCACAGGTGTTCTCTACAGGAGTTGAACCTAACTGTTGATGATTATGGAGCTAAAGCTCTAGCTAATGCAATTCATCAGGACATGTCTCTTAGGAGAATTACCCTTCTTGGTTTGTCCCCGTATGTTGGTGGTTATACAGCTGAACAACTGATACACGTTCTTGTGGATAACTTCATCCTTCAAGAGTTTTCCCTATCAAATAGACTGAACTCTGGTATAAAAAAAACACATTGTGTGTAAAATTCTTGAGGATGCAGCTCTACCGACTGAACGACTAAGAGTGCGTCAAGGGAAAGATATTTAGTAAACCAGATCTATCTTATGAGCAAGACAATGAATCTGCCCCTCATATTGACTCTGCCATGCTTAAACCATTGTCTTATGATTTTGCTACTGACTTGGCTGATGTCTTTTCACATAACAGTATACTTTTGAGAATTTTACACTGTCTGATCAAAAATTCCGACATCCTCAAACTGTTTCTTCACTCCGGGCCTTCTAACGTGACTCCAAGTTTATATTCTCACATACATGGCTAGGGTTCAATGGAAATATAGCTCTAGCTCTTGCTCTCCATCTCTCGCATATAATATGTGATCTACAGGAGTTGAACCTAACTGATGTTGATGATGATGGAGCTAATGCAGTAGCTCGTGCACTTCATCACAACACGACTCTCAGAAAAATTACCCTTATTTACTCTGATGTCCACCAACCCTACCATGTTTGTGTTATACAGGCTCTTATGGCTAACTTCACCGTTCAAAGTTTTCCCTGTCAAGTAGACCTCATTAACCCTCGGCGCGCATGCGCAGCGAGGGTTACGGTAGTTACCCTCGGCGCGCATGCGCAGCGAGGGTACTGTAGTTGGGTGTGTGTGTGTGTCTGTTACTCTCAATCTCACTTCTCGAATGTCTGTTCGTCCCAGAAACGCTACCATCTACCCAACGGGCGACGAAGGTCAGAAAATATGTGGGGTTTTCTCTGAAAATGCTCCGTTGCAGAGCTAGAGCGCTTCCACCATTGTACGGCTAATGCGTAGTCGGCCATTTTTATCGCTGCGGAAAATGCGCATGCGCTTATAACCTCGACCGGGTCGTCCGCTTGCTCTGTGTATCTTGAAGGCACAAGAAGTCACAACGAAGGGCGTGTATCGACTCTCGCATACTATCTACTACTGTAGCTAGCCCGTGTCAGACTCTCTGCGAGCTACTAGCGGGAGATCACGAGTAAACGCATACTAATAGCAGCCCAGCCCATCAATTAGCGGTACCGCGCATCCCCAGTTCGCCGAGGGTTTGCACTTTAGTGCTTTTCATTGGGTCTGTCTGTCTGTGTGTGTGTTACTCTACATCTCACTTCACGGGTGTTCGTTCGTCTCACAAACAACACTACCTACTTAACGGGCAACGAAGGTCAGAAAATATGTGGGGTTTTCTTTGAAAATGCTCCGTTGCAGAGCTAGAGCGCTTCCACCATTGTATGGCTGGCTATAGTCGGCCATTTTTACTCCGCGGAAAACGCGCATTCGCATTGTACTAGCTTATATTCGGCCACGTGGTGGAAAGCGGCCATTTGGCTTCTCGTTCGGTGAGGGAAGGTGTCCAGTTGCGTGAGTTGCGAATTTATCTATCATGCCTCCGAGTAAGGTATGCCCACAGTGTCAAACTATTGTACATATAAGGCTGAAAGTGTGTAAATCTTGCCAACATGTCTTTCGAGCGAAGAGGAAAGCAGAGCATAATTTGTCAAACAAAGCCATGAAGCGCATGAGAGTAAGTGAAACGAACGAGCAAACTGTGCATAGACAACTGCAGAATAGAAAGCACATGGCAAGCATGAGAGCAAGTGAAACTAGCGAGCAAACTGTGCATAGACGAGAAAAAGACAGAAGCAACAAAGCAAGCATGAGAGCAACTAAAAAAGCAAGCGATGTGTCTGTACAACAAGCTATTATGTCATTTCATTCTGATATCAAGAATGGACCTGATTTTGTTTGCTCATGTTGTCACCGTCTGATGTATAGCAAGAGTGTTGTTCTATGCAACCTAGCTAAATATACCAAGTGCAGCAACGACTTGCTGGAATGTGTGTTCAGTTCTGACCTCAGATATGTTACTGATACTGGCAATGAGTGGGTGTGTAAGACGTGTGACAGAGCGTTGAAGCGAGGAATAATGCCATTGCAAGCTAAAGCTAATGGGTTACAGTTGTCTGAAATACCACCTGAGCTATCTGATCTAAATTCATTGGAACTAAGGCTTATTTGTCTACGTGTGCCTTTCATGAAAATGGTAGCATTGCCATCTGGTAAACAAAGGTCAATCCATGGTCCAGCTGTCAATGTTCCTTCCAAAGTTGATACCATTTGTAACATGTTGCCAAGATTGCCATCACAGTCTGAATTAGTGCCACTAAAACTGAAGCGTAAACTAGCATACCGAGGCCATTATACGTATGACTACATAACTCCTCAGAAATTGCTATATGCATTGACATTCTTGAAAGCTAACAATCCATTGTATGCTGACATTGCTGTAAATGAGGAGTGGCTAGAAGCAGCTATGGCTAATGATGCTGAGCTTTGCGAGTGTTTGGTTGAACAACAAGATGATAGTGATGAGCAGGCTATTCAACCTATTGTTGATTCCAAAAACAGTGTTGCACCCCCTAATGCTCCTAATGAGATTGCTATGGACTGTTCTGATAGTGATGATGCTCTCTTAACAGCTGTGCATAAGCTAGAAACAATAGCCAGTCAAAATGGTTTCACTATCCATGATGTGCTATAACGATGGTAACTGTATGTTCAGTGCTATTGCGTATCAGCTAAACAGTACTAGCATATGTGATTTTGACAGTAACACATTGAGGCAAACAGTAGCTGACTACTTGGGAGCTAACAGAACCTCATATTGTGATTTTTGTGTCAGCCAGTAGCTCAAAATTATGACTATAATTATGGCTATAATGCAGACACTGAACCTCAAACACGAGAGGATGAGTATATTGACAGTATTGCAGACCATAACATTCTTTTATTTTTCAGCTGCTCTTTTAGTTGTGCGGAAAGGAAAGACTTCTCGGTTTCTGTTTCGTCTGCAGCACCGTACTGCTCTGCAGAGACACCTTCTGACTCTGAAATGCGCAATAGATACACGTTAAGGACATTATTACGATAAGGATAATCAAAATAATAAGAGAAGCCTGAATTGCAAAACAGAGCTTAGATGGCAAAAATATCTGACATGTCTAGAACAAGGTGCCTGGGGTGACCATATTGCTATGCAGGCTCTATCTGATATGCTCTTTGTGACTATCAATGTACTGTCTAGCCACCATCCAATGTATTCAGTAACTCCAAGAAACCATTGTGCTGACAATGAAGTGTTTGTTGGGCTGATAATGCAGTACCATTATGTGGGTTTGGACAAAATACCTGAACAGCCACAACCTACTATGCCAGTACAGCTTGCTAACAGTGATACAGTAGCTGAACAGCCGGAATCTGTTGCTCAGTGGTTGTAGTGGGCCAGGTTCTATATGTTCCCCAGTGACTGATGTGGAACCGGGTTCTAGGTTCCACAGTGAGGGTGTGGGGCCGAGTTCTAGGTTCCCAGTGAGTGTGTGGCCTGCAGTTCTAGGTCCCCAGTGAGTGTGTAGGGCCTGAGTCTAGGTTCCCCAGTAAGTGTGTGGGCCTGAGTTCTAGGTTCCCAGGAGTGTGGGCCTGAGTGCTCGGAAATTCCCAGTGAGTGTGTGGGCTGAGTTCTAGGTTCCCCAGTAGTTTGATGGGCATGAGTCTCTAGGTCCCTATCCCGTGTCTAGGTGGGCGAGGTTCTAGGTTCCCACAGTGAGTGTGTGGGCCTGAGTTCTAGGCGTTACCCAGTAAGGGTTAGTGGCCTGAGTTCTAGGTCCCAGTGAGTGTGTGGGCCGAGTTCTAGGTCCCCAGTGGTCAGTGTGTGGCGAGTTCTAGGTTCCCAGTTAGAGTGTGTGGGACTGAGTGCTAGGTCTCCCGTGCGTTTAGTGGGCTAGGTTCTAGGTCCAGCCAGTGAGTGTGGGGCCTGAGTCAATATAGGTCCCCAGTCACCCTCTTTGTAGGTTGTTTTTCACTCCTCTTTTGTAGTAGGACGAGTTGGATGTGTCATGGCTTCAAAGGCTCTTTGCTGTGGCTTTCATAAGGAGATATGCACACTGCACAGATCATTCGCACATCTGGCATGTGTGGAGACATTCACCCAGCTGTGCATGAATATTACAGGCTTTAGTCACTGTTGCGTAAGTGCATTCGATGTTATTGGAGATGGATCGCTCATCAATATGTGCTACTGGCAGCTCATCCTCCACCACTACCCCAAAAATGCCAAATCCCACCCAAACATCCATCAGCCACAAAAAACCTTCCTCTAACACCTCCATATCACTCCTCAGTGGTCACTGTCAAATCCAAACCATCCTCCCTCCAACCGCCTTCATCATCGTTAGCTAAGTCAACTAAGTCAAATCCTCCAAAATATCCCCTTTTTTCTCCAAACACTCCAAATTATCATAGTCTAAGCTGTTTTCCCCAAACCAGTCACTCCCAAGCAATCCTTTTTAACCCTCCTCAATATCCTCATCTAAGTTCCTCCCCACGCTCCTCAAAATTTTTTTCAGCCTCATCTATGTCGTTCCTACTCAACGCTCCTAAATCATCCTCAATCTATGTCTTCTACTCCGACGCTCCTCAATCATATTCATCCTCTGAAGTCAAGACAGGAATGGTTAAGTGACAGCCACATGACGCAGTGCACTGCTAACGCGGTGATTCCAAACACGAGGAAAAATTGGGGGGGCAGAGCACACGCTAGGGAGAGTGGATGGAGGGAAACCCGACCCAAAAACAACCCCTTGGTTCAGCATTCATCCATATCTTCACATATCAGATGGTAAATTGGGCTGTTGTTTCAAATCTTAAAATAATGGGAAAAAGAGTGCAGGTGCAGAAAAATTTGTCACATACATGATTCCCTGTGACCACTCAATGGGACCCCAAGGTTCGAAAAACAGTGTGTTCAGTTGTCAAGTTGATTGCTCGTTTTGATTACGATGTTGCGATAATCATGAGAAGCTATTAAAAAAATGACGTCTGATTTGGCATTGGACCTGCACCTTCGTCTCCTTGTCATTTTGTTATTCGCTTCCTGCTGGGCCTCGGACTAGTGACTTTTTCATTGTTCTAGGTCGTGTAGTGGTTCTTGAGCTTCTCCTCACTCTTTTCTTTGTATTGTTCCTCTCCATTTTGTCTTCGCGGCCCGCCTTTCTTCAGGCATACTGTCTCACTCCCTCACTCCCTTATCGTTAGATTTCATGGCGCTTCCTTCTGTCGTGGTGCCCCTGGGCCTTACTCCTGTTTTCTTACAGTCATTGCCTTTTCTTCGCCCCGCACTTCTGACCCTCGCTGCCTCCTGCGCTGTTGTTGTGTCTTCCCCTTTTTATGTCCCTTCCTGGGGTCGTCTTCCTCTCCCTCATCTCCCCATCTTTATGTTGCCGCGTTTTTGGCGTCTGGGTCCCTATCCCTGTGGCGTCCCCTGGGTTAACCCCCCCCTTCTGTATTCGGCGTCTTGTCTCCATGTCCCCCCGCCTTGTCTTTTTCGCTTTTCTACCCTCTTATCTCCCCTCTGGTCCTTCCCCTTCACGTCCCAGTTTTTGCCTTCGTTACTGGATGTCCCATCGTAGTTATCTCTCTTTTAATTTTGGAACCAGGCCTATCTGTCTTGTTTCCTTGCCGTTGTT